TATGATTTAAGTATTTAACCCAATAGCTTTACTTTTCACGATTTCCCGTCTGATGATTTTACAGATTGATTAAATTTTCTGTGTATATATTGTTGTTGTTGTTGTCACATTCATGTATTACTGACTTATTGTTAATGAACACCTCCCAGGAGTATGGGGGTTCAGAAGCTGCCTGCCACAGAAGAGGAGGAGAAAGTTGATGAAGAATTGTGGAGATTATATGATAACCTATGGAATATTATTAGTGCAATACATGGCAAGGGACCAAATAAGACGCTACCAAAGCCTTCCCCAACTACAATTACATCCTTTGGACAAAGAGCTCTTGGTTTGGTTGAATCACTAAATATTCCCGCAGCTGAAATGGCTGCTGTTGTTGTATCAGGTGGAATTAGCAATGCTTTGACTGGAAGACCAAATAAACCTATTGACAAAGCTATGGTGTTAAGAGGGGAGAAATGTCCAAGAATTGTTTTTCGACTGGTGATTCTGTATCTTTGTAAGTCATCCCTTGAAAGAGCATCTCGATGCGTGCAACAGCTTATCCCCCTTCTGCCTTGTCTTCTTACTGCTGATGATGAGCAAAGCAAGAACCGGTTGCAACTCTTCATATGGTACTCTTGTCTACCATTTTAAGGGAACTTTGACCTTGGTTCTTTTATTGTTATAGCAACACATCCATAGATAACTATTTTCAGAACATGTGAGATCACTGAGATGTGACATGTAATTGAATATATACAGGGCCTTGCTTGCTGTTAGATCACATTATGGGATGCTCGATGATGGTGCTAGATTTCATGTTATTGCTCATTTAATTCGTGAAACAGTAAATAGTGGAAAGATAATGTTAGCTACAAGTATTGCTGGCAGAGATGATTCTTCCGATTCAAGCAGCTATGGTAAGGAAGGAAGTTCCATTCATAACCTGATCCAAAAGGATCGAGTACTTTCTGCGGTGAGTCATGTGTTTGGGTATTCTGTTTCATACGGAGTATGAGTTTTCTTCTCTATACACTACCCTTCTATGTTGTGACTCATGTGATGCCTTGTATTATTTTACAATTTCACGGTTGGGATCAAGTTTAAATAACATTGTATTTAATTCTTCTGTTGCTTTGATATATTTTTTCAAACCCCACTTGTGGGATGCTACTGACTGTTTTTATGTTATCCTATCCAGTTTTCTGATGAAGTAAAATATATTAAGAACTCGGGAGCTGATAGGACCAGTCAATTACATGAGCTTCATCTTCGGCTAGATGAACTGGTCTTCATTGATTCTGATCAAAAGAAAGCATTCCGAGATGAAATTCAGTACAGTTTAATATCCATTCTTGCCTCAGACAACAAAAGAAGAGATTCTTCCAGGCTTTCTATAGATGAGGAGCAGCAAGTAGTTGCTGTAAGTATTCAATTTATCATTAATTTTTATTGCATTCATCATCACCTTTATTCCAACTATGCTGGATTCAGCGACATGAAATTTGTTTCAAATATTCAATTTGGGTTCCACCACTCTTACCTAGACATAATTGTGAGATGGAAATTGGTTGCGATATTTGCACGTAGTTATATCCTAAGCTCCAATCTATATTGGATTGTGCTCATTTACTTGGCTATTTTCTTATATACCACCTTTTTTAAACAGGGAAAGTGGATTCACACTTTTCGCTCTCTAATTGATGAGAGGGGTCCATGGTCTGCTAATCCATTTCCAAATAATATTACAACATTCTGGAAACTTGATAAGACAGAAGATGCATGGCGTCGCCGGCAGAAATTGAGACGGAATTATCATTTTGATGGAAAGCTATGTCTTCCTCTCTCTGCTATACCTACTGAAGCCCCTTCTCTTGCTGCCAATGATGGAAAATATGGTTTTGGAGCCAATATTCCAGAGCAGATGAAGCGGTTTTTGCTGAAAGGGATTCACAAGATTACGGACGAGGGTTCTACAGAATTAAGTGAAAGTGATGCGGAATGTAGTGGCCATGGGGTCTCTGCTTCTCATGATTCAACTGATAAGCGGTCCTCTGAGGGTGTCAGAGAGATCGATGACCAAACAGACGTTGCTCAGGACAGAAAAGATTGCCTTTCTTCATCTGCAGAAACAGAAAATAGTGAGGTATAAATAAGAAATGCATGCAGGAAAATGTATCTAGTTTTGATTGAATTATCATTGCGAGTGTTTCAACAATTTCAGGTTCTCTTGTCGGTCCACTGTGTTCTAGTTGCACCAAAGAGAAAATTAGCTGGACATCTGACTGTCATGAAGAAATTCTTGCATTTCTCTGGTGAATTTTTAGTGGAAGGTACTGGAGGATCTTCTGCTTTTAAAAACTTTGACTCTTCAGGTGTGCTTGATCTGAGCAAGGCTGATCCCGAAGGTGGATGCCAGAAGCAGAAACTTCTCAAGTGGCCTGGCAGCCTTGATCTCGATTCTGAAAGAGGAAAAGCTATTGATAGCATAAGTGCATTGTGTGGAAATGTTCCTCAAAAGAATCCTAACAATATCAAGCGCCATAGAAGATGGAACATAGCTAAGGTATAAAAGCTGCTGTTATTTGATGCTTCTGTTATCTCTGATTATTTCCCTCATTTATTTATTTATTTATTCATTTAAGTGGGTGGTGGGTTTACGCCGGAAAGTGGAACTTGAGTTTCTTAGTTGTATAAAGTCACTCCCTGTTGTGTTGAACTATTTGATATATGAGTCATTGACCCGACTGTTCACACGAATTGTAGGTAAAAGCTGTCCATTGGACCAGATATCTGCTTAGATACACAGCGATTGAAATCTTCTTCAATGACTCCACTGCTCCAGTGTTTTTAAATTTTGCAACACAGAAGGATGCAAAGGATGTTGGCAGCTTGATCATTACTAACAGAAATGATTCAATGTTTCCCAAGGGATATAGGGACAAGACTAGCATTATTTCCTTTGTTGATCGACGTGTTGCGTTAGAAATGGCAGAAATCGCTAGAGAAAGTTGGAGGAGAAGAGAGATTACAAACTTTGAGTACTTGATGATTCTTAACACACTCGCAGGAAGATCTTATAATGATTTAACTCAGTATCCTGTGTTTCCTTGGGTATTGTCTGATTATTCTTCAGAGACTCTTGATTTGAACAAGTCATCTACTTATAGGGATCTTTCAAAACCAGTTGGAGCACTGGATCCAAAGCGATTGGAGGTCATCAATTAGATTTGTTTGTGTGGCTATGGTTTCAGTTTTTTTGTGTGTGTTTGGGGGTGGGGCTGCAAAAATTCAGTTTTTGACTTTAGACCTGTAGTATCATACGATTTTAATGCTATTTAGATTGGCAGGTTTTTGAAGACAGATATCGAAGCTTTTGTGATCCTGATATTCCCAGGTAATCTAAGGTATTTGTGTTGTGCATTACCACCTTGTAATAAGAATACATCTTAATTGTATATACCCGGTAAATATTGTACTCTGTAACATGTATTAATATTTGAAACTTCCTTTGACAGTTTCTATTATGGTTCTCATTACTCTAGCATGGGAATTGTGCTCTTCTACCTTCTTAGATTGGAGCCTTTTACAGCACTCCATCGTAATTTGCAGGTAATTCACTGGTTGCACGACTAATGATTCTTTTCCATCCCTTAAAGTATTGTCTTCAATCTGTCTGGGTATTTTGATTGACTAGTTAGCACACCCAAGTCTGAAGGCTTTTCAGTGTTGATAATTTCTTTACCTGTTTTTTGTAAGTAGCTCCTTTTGCATCTTGACTAATTATCTTTTTACATACTCAACTCTTCATTTTTGTGTGGCCTTTTCTATTATAGGGTGGCAAGTTTGATCACGCTGACAGACTTTTCCAAGGCATAGAAGGCACATTTAGGAATTGCCTTTCTAATACAAGTGATGTCAAGGAATTGATACCTGAATTTTTTTACATGCCAGAGTTCCTCGTTAATTCAAACACATATCATTTCGGATCCAAACAAGATGGAGAACCAATAGGTGATGTTGTTCTCCCTCAATGGGCTAAGGTATTAAATCTCTCCCTTCCTAATAGTTGTGATGTAAAAAAAGGATTTTGTAACTCAAGTATTCATCAACATATTTCAAGCCCATTAGTGAAAGTTATGAGCAAAAAGACTGATTTCAACTCTGCTAGGTTATAAGTGAACACTCTGAATGACATATTGTATTGTACTTCCTGTCCCGTTTTGTTAGATACACATTCCTTTTCAATGGTTAACTTTTAGTAACACGCTTAATTGTTTATTTTAAATATTTTGTCAGTGATAAGTGATATTGTTAAAAATCTTTGAACTTGAATTGATAGAGTTATACAAAGTATATTATTAATAAGTATATATCATCATACTAATCTTTTCAAAATTATTTTGTTTTTAATATCTTTAATTGTAGACTTTTCTTGGTTTAAAGTTTTAATAAAGTTTTGGGGAGTAAATGCGGCAATGCATCAATGGTCTCCCCAAAAAGCCTATATATCTGTGTGTGTGTGTGTGTGTCTATATCAATTTTGTGAACGTACTCAACGTAGCACGTACGGTCCTCCAAAATCCTAGTGGCACCGTAGTGTCAACCGGGCCCTGTGTCAACACTCAACAGAACTGCCCCGATACACACACACTCGCATACCTATGTACATATAAATAATCGAAGTAGTTGAGATTATACAGGATGTGTTGTTCTTGACTAAAAAGCTTGCTGTACCGGCCCAACTGACATGCTAACTAATTTATTGATCTTTGGACATAATTTGTTTGTTGGAATGGAAGACTTCTTTTGAGAATTTTGTGTATCTCCATTCTTTTGGATTATCTTGTTTTTCTTTCTTTCTTTGAATGATGACAGTCTGTGTGCTTCTACTCTTTGGTTTCTCTCTTCTGTTTAGCTGGTAAAATGCAAAACACTGAGTTTAAAATCTGTATACACTATACAGGGTTCTCCAGAAGAATTCATAAGCAAGCATAGGGAGGCCCTTGAAAGTGAATATGTTAGCTCAAACCTTCACCATTGGATCGATTTGATCTTTGGTTATAAACAGCGCGGTAAACAAGCAGTTGAGGTAATTAAAATCTTGTAGTGTGGGGATCTAGTGATGTGACTTGTTTGATCTCACCAAATTATTTATAACACCTTACAGGCAGCAAACATTTTTTACTATTTAACATATGAAGGCGCTGTTGATCTGGAGACAATGGAAGATGAGTTGCAGAGATCCGCAATTGAAGATCAAATTGCTAATTTTGGCCAAACACCTATTCAGATTTTCCAAAAGAGACACCCTAGAAGAGGCCCACCCATTCCTATAGCACATCCTTTGCGATACGCACCTGGTTCTATCAATTTGACCTCAATTGTTTCAAGTACTAATAATTTACCATCAACAGTGTTGTATGTTAATGTGTTTGATTCTAGCATTGTCCACGTGAACCAAGGTCTCACCATGTCTGTTAAGACGTGGTTAACAACTCAATTGCAGTCTGGTGGGAACTTCACCTTCTCGGGTTCACAGGTGCTATATTTTGATCCATGTTATTAGGTCACAATAATTATCAGGAGTCAGTTTTACAGTTTCTTAAATTATTATTTTCAGGATCCTTTCTTTGGCATTGGATCTGATATCCTCTCTCATCGGAAAATTGGGAGTCCTCTGGCAGAAAATATTGAACTTGGTGCACAGTGTTTTGCAACATTACAAACACCATTTGAGAACTATTTAATATCATGTGGTACCTGGGAAAATAGCTTTCAGGTGATATCATTAACCGATGGAAGAATAGTGCAGAGCATTAGACATCATAAAGATGTTGTTAGCTGCATTTCAGGTAAAGCTTCACCCTCATGTGTTAGCATCTGCTGCTTCAATGGCTGTTTCTCATTATTGCCAACTCTTATCATCACATTGCCTAGTGAAAGATGAAACAAGTCTTTATGTAGACTTTCAAGCGAGTCTTTTGAAATTAACCTATTTTGAGACTAACTGAAATGTATGCCAATATTATATTAGGTGCTATGCATATATATTACCTTGTCCTTGCATCAACTTTAATAATTTATGTGGAGCAGATTATGTCCTAAATCCTAATTAGTGTCAATATCAGTTTAAAAACGTGTTGCAGGATGGTAAATAGTTATTACTGAATAGCAATGCTTCAAGGGCTTATTTAGGACTTTTTCGGTAATAACTAATGTGGGTTGAGAATGATATGCCCTGGATGCAAATATGCAATTATGATTTTGCAACCTGTGCTTATATTGCTGCATTGGATATGGAACGGCATCTTATACCAGGATCGCCAGCATAAAAATCATTGATGTTTTCCTTTTCACATATTTTCATTACCCAAATTAGCATTAGGCGTTTGCCACTTTTTTTTCTGTAGGATGTTGCATTGAGTAATATACATAAAAATTCCTTGCAGTGACATCAGATAGAAGCATCCTTGCCACTGGGAGTTATGACACAACAGTTATGGTTTGGGAAATTTCTCGGGGAAAACCTTCTGACAAGAGAGTTAAGCATACTCAGCAAGAGGTTCCTCGCGTCATTGCTGAGAGTCCATTTCACATACTCTGTGGGCATGATGATGTAATCACTTGCTTACATGCAAGTATGGAGCTTGATGTTGTTATTAGTGGATCAAAAGATGGAACTTGTGTCTTCCATACCCTGCGTGATGGTAGATATGTAAGATCCATTAGGCATCCAGCTGGAAGCCCGTTGTCGAAGCTTGTTGTTTCTCGTCATGGACAAATCGTTCTTTACTCTGATGAAGATCTTAGCTTGCATCTGTACTCCATCAACGGGAAACACATCGGATCTTGCGAATCCAATGGCCGCCTAAACTGTCTTGAGCTTAGCGGGTGTGGCGAGTTCTTGGTTTGTGTGGGTGACCAAGGTCAGATTATCGTGCGATCTATGAGCTCCCTGGGAATTGTTAAAAGGTACAATGGGATAGGCAAATCAGTGACTTCACTGACCGTGACACCTGAAGATTGCTTCATAGCTGGGACGAAAGAAGGGAATCTTCTTGTTTATTCTATAGAGAATCTTCAAATGCGCAAGACGAGCGGTCAACAAAATATGAAACCCAAACCCTCTGTGGCATGATTAATTTCATCATTCATGGCTCACACTGGTTTCTCATGCTTGATCTTACTTAGTCCCAGGTATGCTGTTTTAATTTCAGCATTCATGGCTACCACTGGTTTCTGATGCTGTTTTTTTAAAGAATAAAAATGCAAATCGGATATCACACTTGCTTCTTTTTTCAGTTAATATAATGCCCAATATAATGCAACCATTTTGCCCAATATACTGCCCCCCACATTTACTGACCTGCGGCAACATTTTTTTGGCAACAGAATGTGGAAATGGTTCGCAAGAAGTTGACTTTTTCTTACAACAAAGAGGGAACTGCAAATACTTGAGGTCAAAAGGTACCCTGTGATATTAATATTGTACATTGTTATATGATATAAAGTTCTTTTTTTTTTGGAAGTTTGAGAGGCCTCATCTGGTTGTGAATAACTAACTGGCAAGTGGTGTGGTTGGTGTTGTAAGGCCATGAGCATTGTATAGATGTTTGATGGGGCTTAACATCTACTCATCTCAATATACTCGGTAGGTATTATACTCCGTACGTACTACATTTATAGGAAAGTAACGCTTATTAATGAAACCCGATACCCCGTTCCCTAATTAAATTCATGACTTGACTTCACGGGATACTCCATCCGTATAACAAAGTGTTGAAAAATTAAAATGTATGGTTACAATTTGTTTGAAAAGAGAGAATTGTTAAGAACAATTCTACTCTTGTGGGATTTAACTGGGTTGTTGTTTGTTGTAGAGAGAATTGTTAAGAGCCACAAATTCCATTTTTGCAAAGGTGGATTGAATTTGGAGATTTAGTTATTTCATTAGTTGCATCAAGTATTTGGTCACCTCATATATTGTGATTTGTGACTTGTGAGTGTTTTTTTTTCTACAGACGTGACGAACATGTTTTATCCTCCAAAATTGTCCGCCAATTGCCTTGAAACTCAATCGTTTCCAAAATAAAGCTTCATATTTGAATCAAAACAGTTGATATAAAAGGCACAATTGATAAGAAAGTTGAAATTGGAGTTGAGATTTGCAAGACAGAATTAAGAAAAATAAGACTGGTTGAATGAAAGAATGTGAGCCGTACAAATACCTAGTACTCAGTATAAAAGAGTATGAAACAAAAATAGTGAAAAAGGCCATAGGCCAATATACTCCCTCTTTCCATTTGAAATTGCATGTTTCGGTTTGTGATATTTGAATAAACTTTTGAGTATTAAGAGTTCTACGAAACGTGAAGTGATATAATTATATTATTTTATGAATAATGAAAATAGAAAAAAAATGAATGCAGTTTGACACGGTATATTGTTAACAAGTAACTTAATATGCGACGGAGAAAATATAAGAAGTGCCAAACATTGAAATTTAAGAAGTGTTGCATTTGTCTCAAAATGTTATGCACTTTACGCAAAACAAAAAGAAATATTATAGTTTACTTTATTTAAAGATTTATATAAAATAAAATATAAGATAATTGTTCTATATTTTTTCCTCATTATACTGGTTATTTTTGTTAATGTAAGAGAGACACCACAAAGATGAAGAGCATGGAAAAACTTTTTTTTTGCGGTTGTCTTAGAGTTTCTCCTTTTATATGAAAACAATGCACAACCCATATAACGTGTTTTGAGCAAAAATTATGTTAATGGAATTTGAAGATAACTCAACCTAAAATGATTCACTAAAAATAGGTAAAACCCAAACTCGAGCTGACTAATCCGCTAACACAAGTTTTTACAAATTTCACATTTTAATATGGAATATCATTTACTTTCATATCACTTTGTTCAGTATATAAAGTTATAAACATATCTTTCCGAACAAGTTTTAGACTATGTTGTATTGTGCATTTGTGCTCTTGCTTTCTTTTATAAAAAAAATTTGTACTCCGTGAATATTTTAATTTTTTACATTAATAGTTCTTTATTTTATTAAAATTATACTACTAAGTACTTTGTAATATTGTTGTATATATCTAAAAAAATTAAAAACAAAAAGTTACTCCCTCCGTCCTAAATTAGAACCAAACTTTAATCACTTCTTTATCTATTTTCATTCCTCAATTGAACATTCGATAAAAATAGTAATGTCGCCTCTTGTTTTATAGAATTTTGATGTAAAATATGTACTCTATTTTTTTTAATTCCACCTCAATTTTTAAATAAATTGAATTGACAATTTTTCAATCAAACATCGTAAACCAAAACAGACGGTTTAATTTGGGACAAAAGAAGACAATTTAATTTGAGACAGAGATAATAATAATAATAATAATAATAATAATAATAATAATAATAATAATAATAATAATAATAATAATAATAATATTTTAATACTCGTAAATACTAGTGGTAGTAATCTTCATAATGTACACAAAGCGGCAACAGCCAGAGAAAGGATTGGGGAGAAAGACAACCCCACTCTTATCTTTTCTTCCTTTTGGGCTAAACTTTTAATCCACTGTGTGCGCGTGCGTGTTTACAAAAATTAGCTCCCCATCTCTCTCTCTCTCTCTCTCTCTCTCATTCTCTCTCTCTCTTTGTCTCCATACTTTTGCTGTACTATGTACTACTACTACTACCTATGGAGTATAGGAAATTAAAATTCATTTACACATACCAAATGGCTTTAATTGGGGCTTCCTTTTTGCTCATAAAGTGGGGATATTCTTCTTCCTCCTCCATTGCACTGGCTGACGGGATAGGAACTTCCAAACCACGGGCAGATGGGGAGAGGCTATTCGTTGAAATCCTCGTAAGGGGGCGATGACCCACTTGAAGAGTCGCTGTAGAAAGGCGTGCCCCTTGGGGACGTGGGGAGTGAATCTCTTGGCTGAGACGATAAGCTGCCACCACCTGCACATGATGATGGTGCACAAAAAAATTTGCTCAACAAACAATTTTATGTGTGAGAAGACTGAGCCCATCACCCCCCGCAAAAAAAAAAAAAAAAAAAAAAAAA